CAAAAGCAAGGGCAAGGCTTTCTACCTACTTCTGGATGAGATGTCAAAATTTGCATTTCAGCTGGAATGTTTTGAGAAGGTCAATGTACTAGATCCCATAGGTATAAGTGTCAGCCTCCAGCAAGGAGGTATATTATTTCCCACATCAAAAACCTAGCATCTGACAATTTACAAGAAAGAATCTATAGGGGATCTTCTCTTTGTTACTGAGAATAGAAGCAGACCTCTCAGATCAACTATTTGTTTCTTTTTAGAGTAAAACTGATCCTGGGGAAACCTCTGTCCCTACCCTGCATTAGGTTGTACTTGTGCTCATTAGCACTTTAATCTCAGCACTAGTTTAACATCATCTGAAGTATAATCCCTGATCCAAGAAAAGGAACTGCATCTTATTTCTGTTCTTATTTGAAATATAGTTTTGTATCATATGCACATTTTAATGCATCAAAAGTTCATCCCGTACAGCTACTGTTTTTCCTTTGTCACTCTAACAGAATTTTCCCACATTGTTACAGCTAAAGAGCCTATAATTTTCAAGGTGTTCTATACCCTCCCATAAAAACATATACCCACCTGAAATGTCAAATAAAAGGTTTTAGCTTAAGCAAGTAAAAACAATGAATTAATGTTCCCACAATTAGAAAAAAAAGAAGAAAACATTTTCAGAAATGTCCAGAACAGTAGATAAAGAAGTTATAGAAAAAGGGAATATTGGCTTGTCCTAGTGACTGTTTTTATCATAACCAAGTGACCATTTTCAGTTTGAGTCTTACATTCTTAAAATGTCTTTCTTGGCTTTCCCAGTTAAAAGTCGTTGAGTGCTTCTTAATGGATAAAGCACATTTTCAACACCAAGATCCATGGAAGCCAAAATTACAGATTTTGGAACATTTCTGTTTACATCCCTTCTACAGAAATGCCGAAAAAAGCACTGGTTTCATGTGTAAGCTTGGGTCTTGTTTGTATATGCATCTCAAATCATGAGAAGTTGGATTGCTCTGTTACTACATAATCCAGATCACCAACTTGCTTAAAGAACTATTAAACTCAGTTTTGTATCCCTTCATATTTCACTTGAAAAATAAGGATATTTATTGCCTTTGCAAATGTAAAAAAAAAAAAAAAAGAAGAGTGACTGCAGTCCAATTCATTATTTGAGTAGGAGATTGAATCAATAAGGAGGAAAGCAATCATCTTCAGCACCCTGGATTTTTTAATTTTTTTTTTTGGTGACAATATTTAAAAAACAATACTGGTAATCGATACTTACCAAATCAGGCTTGCTTCTAATCTCATCTATATTCTCATATAGTTAAAAAACTAGGTGACTGTGGCATCGATGCCTACACAGTCAGATGGATTGCAGATTGGCTGAGGGGTCGCACTCAGAGGGTGGTGGTGGATGGGTCATATTCGACCTGGGGGGAGGTGGGTAGCGGAGTCCCCCAGGGCTCGGTCCTGGGGCCTGCGCTGTTCAATTTCTTCATCAGCGATCTGGATGATGGGGTGGAAAGTAACCTGTTTAAATTCGCTGATGACACCAAAATCTGGGGGGAGGTGAGCACGCTAGCAGGGAGTGAGAGATTGCAGAGGGATCTGGATAGGTTACAGGGGTGGGCTAACAGGAACAGGATGCGTTTTAACACGGACAAGTGCAGGGTGCTGCACTTGGGCAGTAGGAACCAGCAGCACACTTATACAATGGGGAACTCCTTACTCGAGAGCACGGAGGCAGAAAGGGATCTTGGAGTCATTATTGACTCCAAGATGAACATGGGCCGACAATGCGAGGTCATGGTTGGCAAGGCTAACCGGACCTTGTCGTGCATCCACAGGTGCATCTCGAGTAGAGCCAAAGAGGTGATCCTCCCCCTCTATGCGACACTGGTCAGGCCACAGCTGGAGTATTGTGTCCAGTTCTGTGCGCCCCAGTTCAAGAGGGATGTGGACAATATGGAGAGGGTCCAGAGGAGGGCCACCCGCATGATCCAGGGACAACAGGGCAGACTCTACAGTGAGAGACTGCGGGACCTGAACCTATTCAGCCTCCACAAGAGAAGGCTAAGGGGGGACCTGGTGACTGTCTATAGACTCACTAGGGGGGACCAGAGGGGTTTGGGGGAGACGCTGTTTCCCCTAGCGCCCGCTGGCATAACAAGGAGAAATGGGCACAAGCTGTTGGAGAGGAGGTATAGATTGAACATCCGCAAAAACTACTTCACCGTTAGGGCGGCTAGGAGCTGGAACCAACTTCCAAGGGAAGTGGTGCTGGCCCCTACCCTGGGGGTCTTTAAGAAGAGGCTGGATGCCCACCTAGCTGGACTCGTTTGAGTCCCATTTCTCTTTTTGGGGTTTTTGTTGTTCTCCCGCCCTGGCGGGGGGTCGGGCTAGAAGATCTATTAGGTCCCTTCCGACCCTTAATCTATGAATCTATGAATCTATATTTGCTACTCTAATAAATTTTCTTCCCCCCAATAAAGTGACCAACTCTAAATATATGTACCATCACTTACTTTTTTTGTAGACTTGCGAAAACTAACTAAGGTCTGCTATATGTACTTGGCCAGATGTACTGCTCCAAGAATGGTGACCCAGAAATCATGGTCAATATCTCATGGCCATTCAACCAACAAAAACCATGCCTAAAAAAGATCTTCAAGTGATAGCAGGCCACTGAATTTGGTTATTTTTGCTATGTTCTATCCGATATAAATCTGTGGTAAAAAGCTGCTGACTGACCTCACTGACCACGTGACCCTTTACACATGATAAATTGGAGCAAAGTTATTGTATCAGTCATTTATTCTGAAACATCTAATTAACTGACTAATTAAGGTATGTCTCAAAAGAGAAGTACTCCCCCAAATTATTTTTAACAGCATTTCATCAAAGATTCACACTGAAACTACCACTATTACAGATCAGTTGCAGCCTTTGTGGTATCTTACCCAGTCCAGTTCACATTAGCTGCAATGTATTCCTAGGCAAAAGTGAAAGACTAGCAATTTGAGTCATTCCATTCTAATTAATCAATTGTTTAACTAATTTGGCTTTAATTATGGTATTCAGGACGTGAGCACTTACGAGTGCATACCATGAATGCTAAATGCTTTAGCCTGATTTATGAATAAATCACATTTATCTGTCATAAACCTATAGTTTTGATTTCTTGCCTTGTGAAGAATGCATGAACAGTAGCTGATTGCTGCCTGCCATGAATAACTTGTAATCACACAAAAACTCCATCCTTAACACTAATAAAAATTTCTCTTTTCTTCAGACAATTGAGGGCAGGTGAAATACTTTCAAAACCTTGAGGCTACAAGATATACATATGCCATCCTGATTAAACATATGGAATGCATACTCAAAGAAAAGCCAACTGGAGTCCTACTTGAGTAATCAAAACACCCAAGCTGAGAGGGGTTAACATGCAAGGATCAGTTCTGAACTTTGAAGTTTTCTGGTCTTCATTTTTCCTAATTAAGACAAGATTTAATAACCAAACCACTGTAAAAACTATGTAATTAAACTTCATATTTGTTTCTAATTTTGTTGGGAATTTTCAGCAGATTCCAAGAAATCAGTACCCCATAGGAGAAGTTCACCAGTGAAGTGGATTGAGCCATTCTCTGATATACAAGAGTTACATGCCTGCTTTTCATCTTTTTCCCCCCTTCCACATGATTGGCTCACAGGTTTGTCTGTCAAATAATCCTCAAACAAGACACAAAAAAGAAAGATGCAACGATTCACATGTCAGAGGTATCCAATAAAGTGTTACAAACATCTATTTCATCCCAACTTGAAAATGAATTTGGTACAATCAGTAAGTTCGAAGGATGTGTTCTGAAAAATGCAGGAGAAAATTCTTCATTGGTCCTCAGGGATCAGATTATTCCAGTACCCACATGGCTCAGTATTAAAGTATGCAGATCAGCAACCTTCATGGCTACAAACTATATCTTGTGGAAGTTCTGGATACTGTTTTTGTAAAATTATACTTTCTGATTATAAATACAGTCAGATTCTATGGCCCTTTATTTATAGTGGGAGACTTGCTGGTTTCTCACAGACTAAGATATTATTCTACACAAGAAAGCAGAACTGGGCTTTGGATTCACTAGTGCAGGAGTTGTCAACTGGGGGTACACATACCCCCAGGTGTACCCCAGACGGCTCTAGGGGATACACGTGGGCAGACGGGGATGGAGCACTGCCATGCAACATCCTGCCCAGCACTGCCCACCCGGCTGGATACAGAGGGAGCTCACACATGGTGGCTGCTGCCGCTCCACATCTGGCCACGCACCATCCCTCCACCCCCCAGTCAGCAGCTGGGGATATACTGCTTCCCATCTGGCCGACAGGGGTACAATGATCTAACAAGGTTGAAAACCCCTGCACTCATGGCAATAGCTGTTTCTCTTGTAACTTATGCCTTTGGTATTAGTTTTTACCTTGACACAGAAAATTTGCTTTCATGTTACTAATCAATTTTATATGGGATTTCAGTACGGGAATTTCAAATAAATTCAATTAGGAGATAGGGTCTGAAAAACTCTGAATGTATTGCTCATCATCAAATAGCGAGTAAGCTTAAAATATGAAGCTACACAGAACCAACACTGGAAATGACAGAACTGACACAGGATACAGAAAATGAAATGCTGGTAAATCAACTACAATTTTCAACACTCTATAAGGAATTGCTTATTTATTCAATAGGCAACTAATTCAAAATGATAATTTAAAACTCAAAAAGCACATGACTGCTGTTACATTTAACTGCATTACCTGTCCATGGAATCAACTTTGGACAATCTTCAGGAAAGATAAAAAATGAGAGGTTTATACTAATTCACATGGGCACCCTGTGGGTGTTCTATGTGTGCAGGAGAGGATGCCCATTTGTTCAGGTATCGCATCCATGAATACTCCAACTATCTTTGCTTCTGATGTTTTACCTTTATTAGGAAGGCATTTGTTTGGGAACTCACTTTATTCATGTGGATCTGCTGCTGGTACTGTTTTTGCTTCTCCAAAAACTGCTGGTGCTGCTGCTGAATGACCAGCTGGGCCAATGTACTTTGAGGCAGAGGAGCTGACTGGGTTCGATTCAGCGGTCTATGACGAGGCAACTTGTGGGCAGCCCTTGTACCGGGTGAGACTCTCTCCTTTGTTGCTAAAGGAGACTGTGGATGGAGAGGAACCCCTCCTGCAAAACAACAACATTTCACTCAAATGTGAGGACCGCTAAGATTCAGGAAGCTCAAAACAGAGGAGAAATGCTTCAGGAAAAAGGCAGGCAGGGGCTCAGAATACCTGATGTACTACAGAACATCACAGTAGCATAAATAACACTGAAGTCCTATCACATGTCCTGCCATAATAAGAAGTTCAACAGCACTAAAAGAATAATTTGGGTTTTCAAGTTACATCAAGTTACATTTGGAAGCTGGAGGGGAAGATTGAAGCACATTGAAATCTTGATAATTACCAGTCACAAGAAGCTTCTGTTGTCTCATTTGTTCTTTCAATAACAAATGTTGCAGGAGAGCCTGGTGGCTGCTGTTAGGCTTTCCCTCTAGAGCAACATGAGGATGAGCTGAAGATGGAGGGATGCTTCCTCCGTACTGTGCAGGCAGAGTCACTCCCTGCCTGAGTGTCTGTGTCTCACACTTCTGTTTTTCTTTGAGTGAAGATGAAGCCTGCGCCAAGAAACAACAGACATAGTTACTGCTTTTCACTGACTTAGACAATCAGATCACTACATAATTAGACAGACCTGCAATTGACAAGGATGGAAATCTCTATCTTACCCTGTGCCTGTGGGCTGAAAATAGAGAAAAAAATCATCTCTTAATCTTAAACAGGTAGGACAACTAAACAGTGGAACTACTTGAGGAAAGTACAGAAGAAATGGCGATAAACAAGGAACCTGCAATACAAAGGTTATTCACAAGTGTTACTGTTTAAGTGATATTCCCAGCCACAAAGTTGGTTCAATGAAAGATGTCACCCATTAAAATCCTTGCGTCTCACAAGAGGCAAGATTTCAATGTGCTCTTAAAGTACTGCGTATCTGAATAAGACTTCTTCCAGGCTCCTTTGTATCCCACACAGGCTCACATTTCCAGCAGGGAGGGCTGGGGGGTGGCAGGAGGAGTGGGGTTCCAAAACTTTCCTATGGAGCAGATGATTCTTGGCTTTCCACACAACCATCCCTCATGCAGCCAGGCCCTCTCAGAGGTCATGTAGCCAGGCCCTCTCAGAGAGAGGCCCGGGCCACTTCCATTTTTTGAGGCTCCCAGTATATAAAAAAATATTAATTCATCATGTACTACAAGCGGTATGACCTGGTAAATGGGCCCGGTAAATGGGCCCGTGAATGAGAGGCCTGGGCCAAATGGCCCTCCTGGCCCCACCTGTAATAGGCCCTGCATGCAGCACACCAATCAGAAAACTGAGTCAACACTGAATGAGGTGAGAAGTTAACCATGCTTGGGAAAAAGTTGGTGCCCAATGGTTCCTTTGGAATAAATCCCTTCCAGGGCTGCTTGTGGGACAGTGCAATTGTGCACTGTACATCATCAGGATGGATTTATAAAGCCAAATCGCACATCAGTGGGAGATGGTAGGCATTTGGTACTTTAAAGGCCCCTGACTTAACCACCGAAAGGCCTGATTTTATATATACAATTTTGAAAATTGTGGCCCATTAGAAATGAAGATCTGCCTTCGTTGTCTGTGTTCAAGCTAAAAGTTTTACTGAAAATATAAAGTATATTTTATGTGTTGATTAGAGTAATAATACAAGTACTAGCAGCAATAAATGTGGTAGTGTTAGGGTGATGCATCCATGACAGTCCAGGAAATATGTAAGAGGCAAGGATTTTTGTGGGTGATATCTTGTATTGGGCCAGCTGCATTGCTGGTAATAGACTTAGGCAAGTTTCCAAATGCAATGCATTCTTCTTCAGGTGCGAGGGAAAACAGGTACAGTGAAAAAATTGGTTTTAATATTTATTCCCCTGTGCCTGCTTTCTCCTTAGACTGCATTTGAAAGCTTGTCTCAGTTTATGCCAACCATGCAGTTGATCCAATAAAAGATATCACCCATGAAAATCCTTGCCGCTCAGTAATAAATATTTTATTCAGACTTCCAAGTTGTGCCTGGTTACCATTCAGGCTCTGTCATGGCAAAAAAAAAGCCCTATCTTTTAATGATCTGAATTCCAGATGTTTTAAAGAGGCAAGCTCTAACTGGTTTTCATTAAAACTTCACGTGCATAACCTTCCTTCACACTCTGCTACTGCCCTTCTCCCATGAAAAACAAATACCAATTAAAATCAAATTTCATTGGCTTATTCTAACAACTGCTATAAATGTTACCTTGCAAAAATTACACACTGGACTTGTTCAGATACCAAAAACAGCATTTGGCAATAACTCACCACAGTTGAAGATTATATGGGGCATGCTTTGTAATTAAAGGGTATTCTTATTTCTTTTAATTTTTTAATATTATAAGATACTTAGACATTACTTATATCTTGCTGTCAGTTAGGTAAGTCACTTTGAAAGGAAAAAATGTTCATAGGTGGTATATTATTTAGTATTACTTGCAACATGTTTAACTCTGAGGCTAAAATTGGATGTTGTCTCTGTGGCAGGATTAGATATGCTGGGATGTGTCCTGGCATAGCTGATGTGATATATGGGCAGATACGGGCATCACCTGGGGCCACTGGGGCCTGCTCCTGAGGTACGGGACAAAAGCCCCGAGTTCCACGTCCTGGTCCAGGGCATACATTTGCTGATGTGGAGAGGGAAACCCCAAACCTACAGACATGCAGCCAGGTGCTCCTGAGACTTTAGACACCCGATTCTGCAGGACAGTGGTCCTGGTTGCTGGGCACTGACAAGGGTATGCATCTGCAGGTGCAGAATGGGGAAACCCTTAGGTTTCCACGCTCCATCCTTCAAACGCAAGCCTTGGGAATTTCCGTGGTGCATGGATGCATGAATGGAGAAGGGAAACCCAGGGGCCCTGCTCCACATGTTCAGACCCCATGTTGTGGCCAGGTACCTGGGGCTATTGCACTGCGGCATCAGGCCTCTGAACACCTGCTCTGGCAGCTGGAGAGCACAGGCAGCTCCAGCCTGCCCATGCTCTTGCATCATAAATGAACAGACATCTGCCACAAAAGGGAGGCACAGAATATTACTAACAATTTGCACACCCCAATTTTGGGGCATTTGGGGTTTACCAGGAGATATGGAGATCTGCTAGCTTGGGTTGTGTGCTGCTATAAAAAAAAATCATAGTGGCACACAGGCAGTGTCTATTTGCGGCCTTCTTCACATATAACGATTTGGTTACATATATCAGGTGTAAAGTTTGTAGAGAATGTATTTAGCGCTTACAAAATGTTCTTGTTCTTCTGGTGTTAGATTTTTTAAAATATTATGTACTTTTCCATTCAAAAGTGACCTGGATAACAGCAATATTTCTCTAGAAAGCACATTATATTATAGTAAAAAAGACTAGAAATGACATGAAAAGTTGAATGAGATTTAGCATTGAAATTAAGTACCACCTTATAGCATTCCATAATAAAGTACATACTTAAAAGGAAACATATATACTGTAAAGTAATACTTATTTATAACATCTAGAATGTTTATATTTCCTACCAAATTTATAATTTGTATTATTTTATTACATCTAAAGTTGCTGACATTTCTATAACATTGCAATACTCTATGGAGTCCTTATAAAGCTTAATGCAAACCTTTATTTCTAGGCAAAATAAACTAGGAAGCACTGGGGTAAAATCTTAGCCCCACTGAAGTCAATGGAGAAACTCACATTTACTTCAAAGGACTAGAATTCCCCTGCCACAGTACTGTGACTTACGATCTTTAACAGCTAATGCGGATTATCAATCATAGTGAATCCATACATTTATAACACTTAATCCAACAAACAAATTCAATTGCTGCAACCTGAGCAAAGGCCAACAATTATTAAATTACTAAATGTTCTTTGGTTTATCAATTATATTTACACATATCACATTTATATCTGCAGTGACTGATGGCATATACCTTAAATCAGTGGTGCCCAACATTTTGGCTCCGCAAGCTGGAAGAACAGTACCAGGTCCACCCTCATGCCAGGTCCAGTCCCTGGGCTGAATTTAGCACAGGGGAATGGCCCAGCTAGGACCTGATCCAGGGTGGTTGCAGCTGGAGCCTAATCCAATGCCTCAATGGGGTACTGGCATGGCTAGGACCCAATCCCTCTGCATGGAAATGGACTCGGTTGGGGCCCAACCTCTCTGTGCAAGGCTGGCCTATCCAGGACATGATCCAGCATCACAGGGCTAGCATAGCCAGGACCCAATCTTTATGCATGGTCTGTATTGGGTTGCTCCAGCCATGGCAGGCTTGGAAATTTGGTGATGGGGGAGACCTACAGGATGGGTGATATGACTCCAAAGGCTGGATCTGGCCCATGGGCCAGGGGTTGAGCACCAGAGCCTTAAATCTACTGATAGGGACACCAAAAGAGAGATTAATACTCATTCTGAAAATTGCTGATTTTAACACAGTACTTTTGGAAATATTTTTTCAAACATCGAATGATCACTTGGTAAAGGAGTAGTTTAAAAGGTCAAATTATATGACCCACTCGCATACCACACTACAGCTCTGGTTTCGGACACTTGTATTTGTAGTTCAAAAATTACATTTGGCACATAATTGTCTGAGCGTTATATTTTGCATTTCTACACTTATTGTTAAGTACACTATTACTGTCAGATACATACAATAAAAATGAAGGCAAGATAGGGGATACACTTTCTGAGAAGTGAAAAGATCAGAGCATGCTTGTATTATAAGAAGGAAAAAAGAAGTTGTGGTGATTAAGAAAGCAGAGACAAGCATGGTTGACCTCAATGAGAAACCCTTAAAATATAGTAAGAATACCCTTTTAAAGTAGTCACTTACACTGATATGGGATTGTACTGCTGGAAGTCCCAAGGTAATGTTGGGCAGAGATGGGGATGTGTACAGGCTCAACAGATTCATTGATTCCTCACCAATCAGAATGTGTTGTTGTGAAACCAGAGGCTGGAACAAGAAAAATAATATACACATAACTTCCATGCCCATATTACCTCTTTCTATTGCCCTGCTACAAAGAAAGCTACATTATTTTGACATCCACTGAGGCATCAAATATTGGAGAAAGCTACATCATCCTTGGGACCTACTGCTATATCCCCAATACAAATCTGAGACTTTTATCTTCAGATGCATATTGATACAAACCTGCTTGACATTTTGAGCAATTTACCCTTCAGTATCTGTTCTCCAACCAATAATACATTCATTCCTAGGGCTCAATCATAATTTTCCTAAGGGTTAATCATAATTTTGCCTGAGTAAGCATTTATTTATTGATTGATTTATATGTCCCAATTTGTATATTTTTATATAAATTAGGAGGTGAATATTTATTGTTTTCCAAGATAAATCCTGCAGTTCATACTGAATACACAGCCAATGCCATTGAACAACATTTGGGGATGCTAGAGTTACAGAGTACCACTAATACGAGCTATTTACATTAAAAGAGAAGAACTTTCTGTAATTCAACACTGTTCATTCTATGTACCATAATCCTGAGCCACTAACTGAAAGGGGATTCTTCTGAGCTATACCATTTACTAGTACAAATGGGAAAGGTTTGAGTAAAATTAATTTAGGAAAAAATGCCGGAGTTTGTCAAATAAAGGTAACTGCCATTTAAAAATCTTTACTAACAATAAAAATATGTCCCACATTATCTGGTACTAAGCCCCCCTCTTTCAAGGTGCTTAATCTGCTTTACTCCCTCCTAATTTCAGCATCTTGCAGCAATGTGATACAGCTGTTTGCTAAGTGGACATCACATTTCTGATGCAATATTTGTAATCACCCCGTAGTACAAACAGGCTTTCTAAAATGTTTGCCCAGAGACACCCGCTTTACATTCACTGGAAAGAAGTCTAAGGTACACAGTCACATGCTTATTTGCAGAGGAATCTTTTTGAAGCTTCTGTCTTTGTGCTTTAACAGTCATGTTTTTCAACATGTGGTCTAGTAGAGTTGCTTGAATTACATTTTCTGTTTAACTCTTGCTTTCCTTACAGAACTTTTACACAATAAAAGCTACAAAGGTCTTACTAGACTTAGGAACTCTGGCATGATATGGTCCCCAAGGGAACAACATCCCTGAAAAAGAATACCCTGTGTAACAGTATGACACAGTGACTGCTTTCTTCCCAAACAAAAAGCATATGGGACTCCAATAATAGACCACCTCCAAGAGGGATACTGCACACTCGGGCTTTGACTAAAGTAAATATAATAACTTGTCAAGCATGTTGTGGGGAGCTGTAGATTTTCCCCTGGACAAACCTGGGATATCAATTAACTTTGGAAAATGCCTTGTGCTAATACAATGTGACTTCAGATTGTCACTGAAAAGTGGTTTAGCACAAAAATACAGGATGTTATTTCAAAACATAACCTTTCACATACAGTTTGTTTGGAGATAAGATGTATCCACTGAGACAACAACGGTAGAAGTCTATACGTGTAATTTTTTCTTGGTGACTTGGGAATGTCAAAAAGACAGTATACAGAAGTGATACGGGCTCTACTGAAATACAAGTAAAGGGACTCCTTTATTTGTAAAATACATTAATTTTTCAGAAACATGACACTGCCTTAAAAACATGTCATTCTGTATATTATTAAAACAATGCATGGCTAGAATACGAGGTATTATTGTGAAATGCTACAAAGATCTTACCAAATGTGATGCTATAAATCTGTAATCCTCAACCATCATCAACCTGCATTGGCTACAACAGGTACACAGTGCTACATTTTAAAAAATGAGTATTTCCTTTTCGGTTTTATGATGCTTCACTGTGAAGGTTTGCATTAGGAAACAAGAACAAAAGGATAAAGTAAAACACATTCCCTTATGAACTAGGCAATGCATGACTGTTAACACTGGATCTAGCCCAAATCAGTTCTGTTCAACACATGAAACATGACAGTTATATTAAAAATAGCAATTTATTATTAAGTACATTTATACCCAAATACAAAGGCAGCAGATCTCCTAAGCAGTTGTTCTCCTAAAAGAAGCAGCTGATAGTTGTTGTATTAACCCCACATTAAGATCCCTGTCCAGAAATGAACTCTACATGGACCCAGGGACCTACCTGGTTAGAGCTATCTATGTATTCGGGCAACTATTCCCTAGAGTAACTGATCCTGTTCCACTACTGCCAATACACTGAGCTAAATAGTATGTGTCCAGAAGCATCCATGTGGTGTGCTGGAGTTCCCTACTTTCTGTGCCTTTCAAAGAAATGACCCTGGGAATCTGGCTAGCTTAATTCTTAAAATGGAAGAATAGTAATTAGATATACTTATGTGTGGTCTTACTGCCTATTTTTACCTCGTACAGGACATGCTGAAAAAAAGGAATAAGCACACACATGCAGAGATGTTCACATGTACACATTAGTGGAGGAAAAGGGAATATTTCCTGAGGACTTGAAACCTACCAAGTTGTAAAATCAGTCCAAGATTGCCAAGACCTTGAAAATCCATAATGGCTTAGGTTCTTACTTCAAAGCACCATTTTACCTTTTTTTTTTGAGATTTAAAAATGAAAATAATTTCTTTTATGTTTGGGAGGGATTGTACTGTCACGATATACCAGCTAGAAACCTATTAATTTTACCACAGAAGTCTTACAAAGACACCTCCATTAAGCTGAGGATTATAAACATAATAAGAGTAGGAGCTGCATTAGAGAAAGTTTTGTGTTTGTCTCTGTCCCTTTATATAATCAGAAGGTTCGCATCTATCATTTAAAAAAAATGCCACTGTCCAAAAATGCTGTATAACAAATGTAAATAGATTCTGTACGTGCATAACCTAAATAAACCTCACTGACACCTAATGGAATATTTCTATTGGCTTCAAGAGGGCTCGTATGTACATAGAAATAATCATACAAGGTTGAACTATATATCACCAAAGCAAGCTGTCCCACACAATGCATTGCCCCTGCAAGCAGTATTTAGCCTATGCAGAGCATGTCATTCAAAAGTGTATGGTATGCTGTAACAAGCTGCAGTAAACTTTGATACTACCGAAGACAACTGGGTCCAATAAAAACAACTTTTATTTATAAGGTGCAATTAAAATCCAGAGTTAACATTTAAGTTTCACATCATCAGAGAAAGTCTTTTAACAGAGCAGACACTGAAAGCCCCACTAGAGGAACTGAGATAGCAAGGGATTATCTACAAATGTTCTTATTTACAGTGGCCCCCAAAAACTAAAATGAACAGTTACCAGACTCCCCACTCCACATGCAAGTCATGTAAGAAGTTGCTATTTAAATGATGAAGGCAGAAAATATTTTCTCTCTTTTTTTTTTAAATCAAAGTACAATTACTGATAATTCCATAATTCTGTCTGTGTCATGGAGTGTGGACATTTCCAGTACTGCCTCATGTTTTTACTGGTAAATGCCTCTTCTATCACAACAACCTGTTTTTGCCCCAGAAAAAAGTGCTGTATTTGCTGCCATAAAAACCACAGCTATACACCCACTCACAAGGGAACACAACACTTACTGCAAATGTCACAACAACAATTAT